CTCCCTCCCTCCCACTTCCTCCTCCCCGGCCTTGTCGACACCCACCTCCACGCCCCTCAATTTGGCTACACGGGCACCGCCACCCATTTGCCGTTGCTGGAATGGCTGAACCGGTACACTTTTCCCTCCGAGGCTCGGCTCGCCAGCGATTTGTCCTACGCCCAGTCCCTCTACCGCTCCCTCCTTGACACGGTGGTAGGGCAGGGTACCACCACGGCCCTCTACTTCGCCAGCAAGGACCTGGCTCCCACCAAGCTACTGGTCGACCTGATCCACGCCAAGGGGCAGCGCGGTTTCGTAGGGAAGGTGAACATGGACAGGCATGCGCCCGAGGACTACTGTGAGGCGTCCGCCTCCGCCTCCTTGGCAGCGACGGAGGCGTTCCTCGACTACGTGCTGGACGTGGTGGCTTCCCCGTTGGTCCGCCCGGTCTTGACCCCACGCTTCCTCCCCACCTGCTCCGACGCCTTACTCCAAGGGCTGGGTGCCCTGGCGCGCAAATATGCAGGAAGGGAAGGAGGGCGGGAAGGAGGGCGGGGTGGGTCGACACCCGGTTTACACATCCAGTCCCACATCAGCGAGAGCGCGGACCAGGTGGCTTTCAACCATCGTCTGGCCGAGCACCACCAAGGAGAGTCTCGGGACCTTCCTGTCTTCGAACGGTGCGGGCTCCTCACCCCGCTGACCGTCTTGGCTCATGGTATCCACCTCTCCCCCTCCGAGCTCGCCATCCTGGCGCGTAGGGGGGCCGGCCTCGCCCATTGCCCCCTCTCGAATTTCTTCTTCGGACACGGAGTACTCCCCGTGCGGAAGGTTCTAGAAGCCGGGGTCAAGGTCGGTTTGGGCACTGACGTGGCAGGAGGGTACTCGAGCTCCATGCTGTCGGCGATCCGGTCCTGCGTGTTGGCCTCGCGGGCCCTGGAGGACGGGGTGGAGGAATGGCGGCATGGGGAGGAGGAAGGGGAGAGGGAGGGAAAGAAGGAGGGAGGGAAGCAGGGAGGAGAGCAATGGTGCAAAGAAGGGAGGGAGGGAATGAGGATCGATTGGAAGGAAGCCCTGTGGCTTGCGACGATGGGGGGGGCGGAATGTCTGGGCTTGGAGGAGGAGGTGGGTTCATGGGCGGTGGGGAAAGCCTTCGACGCAGTCCGGGTAGATGTGAAGAAGGGAGGGGCAGTGGTGGTGCTGGAGGGTGGGGGAGACAGTGCAGAGGACCTGGTGG